CCCGAGACCTGGAGAGGGGTTGGACACTCTACTTCGCTGGAGTTGCTCCGGGTGAGAGGCGGAGGGCTGGGGTTGGCTTTTTGTTAGCCCCGAGACTCTCTGCCTGTGTGTTGGGGTTTACCCCGGGGGACAAGAGGGTAGCTTCCTTGCGCCTTCGGGTCGGGGAACGGGTCCTGACTGTTGTTTGTGCTTATGGGCCAAATATCAGTTCAGAGTACCCACCCTTTTTGGAGTCCCTGGGACGAGTGCTAGATAGTGCTCCATCAGGGGACTCCATTGTCCTGCTGGGGGACTTCAATGCTCACGTGGGCAATGACAGCTTGACCTGGAGGGGTGTGATTGGGAGGAACGGCCCACCTAATCTGAACTCGAGCGGTGTTTTGTTATTGGACTTCTGTGCAAGCCGCAGTTTGGCCATAACGAACACCATGTTCGAACATAAGGATGCCCACCGGTACACTTGGTACCAGGGCAGCCTAGGTCACAGGTCGATGATAGATTTTGTAGTCGTATCATCTGACCTCCGGCCGTATGTTTTGGACACTCGAGTGAAGAGAGGGGCGGAGCTGTCAACTGATCACCACCTGGTGGTGAGTTGGATCAGATGGCAAGGGAACATGCCGCGTAGACCTGGCAGACCCAAACGCATAGTGAGGGTCTGCTGGGAACGCCTGGCAGAAGAACCTGTCAAGACGGTCTTCAACTCCCACCTCCGGCAGAGCTTTGACCACGTCCCGAGAGCAGTGGGGGACATTGAGTCCGAGTGGGCCTTGTTCCACTCTGCGATTGTCGAGGCGGCTGTTGCTAGCTGTGGTCGTAAGGTGGCCGGTAGGGCTGCTCAATTAATCGAATTTTAATCACGATTACGATCTGAGTTTTGAACGATTATAAAAAACATAACAAGCCGATTATTTGCTCCTCCCGCTTGCGCTGCCCTAAGTTGCAAATGAAGCGCTCCTCACAGTGTTGCCAACTTAGCGACTTTGACGCTATTTCTAGCAGCTTTTCAGACCCCCTTCTTGACTTTTTAATCCTAAAAGTACCTAGCGAACATCTCAGAAACATCTCTGGTAACCCTTAGCTACTTTCTGGATAACTGTCGTCGACATTTCCTGCAGGTTAGCTAAACACTCTGCCTGTGCTCCGGACCGTTCTTCACAACATTAGGAAAGGGAATGATGCAGTGATGTGTCGGTCGCTAAAGACAGCTCTCGGAGCCGGCTCCTTGTTGGATTAACCAGAGTGAGTGACACACACACCGCACCTGCGGTCTCCTGAGCAGCTAAAAACAGCTAAATGTGCGCGTGCGGCGTGCTAAACACACGTGCAGCTTGCCCGATTGTGTGAGACCGGGGTGGGGGGGGTGGGGGGTGCAGCTGTGGTCGGGACAATTATTACATTAACTGATGGGCCTGTAAATAAATAGTTTATAAATAAGGTAGAAATAAGTTCCTCACGCTGATAACTAATCTCTCTGAGGACACAGTGCTACAGCACCTTGACACGACTCAATAAATGTTATGTAACATTTTGTGAACATCAGTTTATTTGCATTTATTTGTTATAAATGCCACTCTATAATTCTTGCTGTCAGTATTTGCAAGATATTGGTATTTGGGTCTGTACTGGTTAGACTTACATGAGTTAAACCAAGGTCTATAGCCCTTGGGTCATAGACTATGAGCTATAAGTATATTGGTCCTTTTATCCTGGGAATCAGGAGTTCTTTTAGTGATCATCTTGTTTCTTATTTTTGTCCTGATTGTGCCCTGAGCAGTTTTATGACTGAATAAAAACAAATAAAATCAACATAAATTGAAAAATCGTCCTAAATAATCGTGATCTCAATTTCAGTCACCATAATCGTGATTATTATTTTTGCCATAATCGAGCAGCCCTAGTGGCCGGTGCCAGTCGTGGTGGCAACCCCCGTACCCGCTGGTGGACACCAGAGGTTCGGGGAGCCGTCAGGCTGAAGAAGGAGGCCTACAGGGCGTGGCTGGTCTGTGGGTCTCCGGAGGCAGCAGACAGGTACCGGATAGCCAAGCGGAGTGCAGCAGTGGCAGTTGCCGAGGCAAAATCTCGGGCGTGGGAGGAGTTTGGTGAGGCCATGGAGAAAGACTATCGATCGGCTCCAAAGAGGTTCTGGCAAACTGTCCGGCGCCTCAGGAGAGGAAGGCAGCAACTCGCTCACACTGTTTACAGTGGGGATGGGGAGCTGCTGACGTCAACTGAGGCTATAGTCGGACGGTGGAAGGAATACTTTGAGGAGCTCCTCAATCCCACCAATGCGCATTCCGAGGAGGAACCAGAGCTGGGAGGCCTGGGGATGGACTGTCCGATCTCGGGGGCAGAAGTTGCTGAGGTAGTCAAACAACTACACAGCGGCGGAGCCCCGGGGGCGGATGAGGTTCGTCCTGGGTATCTCAAGGCTATGGATGTTGTAGGGCTGTCATGGTTGACACGTCTCTACAACATTGCGTGGTCATTGGGGGCAGTTCCTAGGGAGTGGCAGACCGGGGTGGTGGTCCCCATCTTTAAGAAGGGTGACCTGAGGGTGTGTTCCAACTATAGGGGGATCACACTCCTCAGCCTCCCTGGAAAGGTCTACTCCAAGGTACTGGAGAGGAGGGTCCGATCGATAGTTGAATCTCAGATAGAGGAGGAGCAATGTGGTTTTCGTCCTGGCCGTGGAACTGTGGACCAGCTCTATACCCTTGCAAGGGTGATGGAGGGGGCATGGGAGTTTGCCCAACCAATCCACATGTGCTTTGTGGATTTGGAGAAGGCTTATGACCGTGTCCCCAGGGGCACCCTGTGGGGGACGCTCCAGGAGTATGGGGTGGGTGGCTTTCTGTTAAGGGCCATTCAGTCCCTTTACCAGAGGAGCGTGAGTTTGGTCCGCATAGCCGGTAGTAAGTCGGACCTGTTCCCAGTGAGGGTTGGACTCCGCCAGGGCTGCCCTTTGTCACCGGTTCTGTTCATCACTTTTATGGACAGAATTTCTAGACGCAGCCGTGGTGTGGAGTGTGTCGAGTTTGGTGGCAGGAGAATCTCGTCTCTGCTTTTTGCGGATGATGTGGTCCTCCTAGCTTCATCCAGCTCTGACCTTCAGCTCTTGCTGGGTAGGTTCGCGGCCGAATGTGAAGCAGCTGGGATGAGGATCAGCACCTCCAAATCTGAGACCATGGTTCTCGACCGGAAAAGGGTGGCTTGCCACCTCCGGGTCGGGGGAGAGGTCCTACCTCAAGTGGAGGAGTTTAAGTATCTCGGGGTCTTGTTCACAAGTGAGGGTAGGAGGGATCGGGAGATCGACAGGCGGATTGGTTCGGCGTCTGCAGTGATGCGGACGCTGAGCCGATCTGTCGTGGGGAAGAGGGAGCTGAGCCAGAAAGCCAAGCTCTCGATCTACCGGTCGATCTACGTCCCAATCCTCACCTATGGTCATGAGCGTTGGGTAATGACCGAAAGAACGAGATTGCGGATACAAGCGGCCGAAATGAGTTTCCTCCGTAGGGTGGCCGGGCTCAGCCTTAGAGATAGGGTGAGGAGCTCGGACATTCGGGAGGGACTCGGAGTAGAACCGCTGCTCCTCCGGATCGAAAGGAGCCAGTTGAGGTGGTTTGGGCATCTGGTCAGGATGCCTCCTGGACGCCTCCCCGGGGAGGTGTTTCGGGCATGTCCTGCCAGCAGAAGGCCCCCGGGTCGACCCAGGACACGTTGGAGAGGTTACATCTCCAATCTGGTCCGGGAACGCCTTGGGGTCCTGCCGGAGGAGCTGGTGGACAAGGCCGGGGAGAGGACGGCCTGGAGCTCCCTAGTTGGGATGCTGCCCCCGTGACCCGGACCCGGATAAGCGGAGGAAGACGAAGACGACGAAGTATATTGGGTCCCCACCCTCCTTCCAAGCCTTACAGAAACTCTTCTCTTGGCAAGTAGCTCTACCTAAGCCTGGTAGCGTGCCTGGATGGTTGTAGCAGGTAGCTCAGCCAGCATTGAATTGAGATGTTTCATCTGCCTGTCTCATGTACAACATTCCACTCAATTTACATGCTTCTGAAATTTTCTGACATTACATCTTTTGGTGGGAAATGTTTCCCTTCCAAACCACTACAGTCAGCGATTTGCAGACATAATTGGTTCTATTAAATTCGAAGCAAGAAGTTTAAGGACGGATTGTTTTCTGAATCATTAAAAACATGTGGAACATGACCCTGATTGCAAACCACATTTCAAGATTTATTTTGAAGTTTAATTTCAAATACTTTCTGTTTGAATATTGCGCTTACACCTGCAGGGTGTCTGGAAGTTTTCAGAGACAGTCGGGGAAACCACGAAGGACCCTGTTTTTGTTTATTAACAGGAGAAAACTGTTGATAAAGAATTCATGACTTTTCCCCCTAAAGTTTATCTGTGGCTTTATGATCTACAAAGTTTTCTAAATAAATAAACTTGAGGACACAACAAAATAACGGATGTAGCTTGGATCTTTGAGGAATAGGAAAAAACCTTAAAAAAAGTTCATGTTCAAATTATGTATATGAAATTGTAAATTCATAAACTGACCTATTTGTGATTACTGCCTTTAATTATAGAAAATTTCATTTAGTTAAAAATTCTGTTCATCAGATTCTTGTGCTGGAAAAGTTCCCTTTAGAGCTGGACTCCTGACTCCCTGTTTACTGTTGTAAATTACTTTGTGGAAAAGTAGAGTTTTATTTAGCTTTTTAGCTGGTAAAACATTTGTGTTGAGCTTCAAGCTGATTTTTATTTTCATCTAACATATGTTGTATCAAACATCCTACAACACATAACCAAAATAAAGCTCAAGGGGATTTTCAAAGCTTTATAGGAAACTTATAATTTGACTGTTTCAGGAGAAAAACAAAGTTGTAAATTATAGAAAACTGAATTGTTGGCATCAGAAAGGTGTTGGGGAACAGCAAGGAATTGGACCTAGATGTCCCAAGTTGAACAGCAAAATAAAAAGTTACCAGGCATTGTGTAAAGGGGTCATTTATTGCACATTTACATAGTTTTAAGAGTGCAGCGTGCTTCTCTGTTGCTAATCACCCAGAGCTGACACCAGCTCACAGCATGCTAAATCAGATTCACAAAGGTTGATGCAGAAATAAGTAGTCCTTTTCCACTGAGTCATTTCCAAACAATTGGTTAAAAGGAAACTGAATTGTGTGTTTAAACGGGCCTTACCCTGAATCATGTCTTAAAGCAGGCAAATGTGTCTTTTCATAGACCGTTTCTGGGTGCGTGTTTCTGACTGCAGGTGCTGTAAATATGCTCGTGTCTGTGTGTGTGTTCACAGGTCATCTGTCTCCCCGTCAAAGGGGACCTCCGGGTCCGTGTGGATGTGTGAGTTGTCCTCGCTGCACACCCAGCCGATGGGCGTGCGGTTGAACGAGGGCCGTGAGCTGATGTCAGCCTGCTGGGTGGGAAGAGGCTCCGGCGCCTCGTTAGCAGCATTGGTCTCTGGGAGCTCAAAGGTCAGTATCTTGGAAGCCTTGTCATAGCCGCCATAGGGCAGCGCCATCCTGAGGATGAAAAGTGTTGAGAAGATACACGTCTGTCTGCAAACATACGCGTTAAGACTTTTATTATTGAGCTTATGGACACAACGAGAAACACAAGCTCCCTTTTACTGAGTGACTGACATTATGAAAGGGTGTTCAGTTATAAAATGTTTTGCAGAAGGACTGAGTTCTTTAGTAGAATGACAGTAGCTGGGTTTCCTCTGCTCATTTTATATTTTTTCCTCTGCTCAAATAAATATTGTAGCCATACACCCAACATTTAGTTCACTATGCCTTGAGGTTTTCTAAAATGTGTTTAATTTTTAGCAAACAACATTGTTAGCTTTCCCACAGTGTTCAACTAACTTTTAACATGCAGTCCAACAACCAGGAAATCAACATTTTTCAACACTTTTTAGGTCAGGTGCTTAAATAAACAAACCCTAAACCTTTTTGCCATTTAATACACCAAACCTGAGTTTGCAGACATAATTCATTCTTGTGACAAAGATGGAATTTGAAACACACTTTAAACTCGTAGCAGATAATATTAGTTATAAATAAGTACCAATCTGAGGTGTCTTTTGTGTTTGCCTCCTTAAATGCCTGGATTAAAGTTAAAAATATCAAAATACAACAAAACGTTATGAATGGTGCGATTTCACATGTGAAGACCCATTAGTGACTCCATACAAATAATATTTAGGTGGTTAAGTGTTTATTTATTTATTTATTTTGACCGGTGGGGCCTGTGTACGGCAGACTCGCCTCTGTCAGTTAGCCCCAGGGCAACATGTGGCTACTATGTAGCTCATCATCACCAGTGTGTGAATGTGTGTGTGAATGGGTGAATGACTGATTGTGTTGTAAAGTGCCTTGGGGGGTTCCTGGACTCTAGAAAGTGCTATATCAAATACAGACCATTTACCAAAATGTAGCAATAATCAACTCACTGAAACTCATGAATATTTTTTATTGCTTGTTACCCACAGTTTTAAAACCCAGTAATAGTTTACCAGGAAGTTCAGCAGATTAAAAGGAAATACGCTTTTCGTGCATGAAGTTCCGTCTCTGTCTATAACTCCAAAACCCTGACTTGTTGGGGAAAAACTTAGCAGGACCTCCCATTGGTTTGTTTAATCTACACTGTGATGTTTTGAGCTTTTCATCAACTGATTCTAATCCAGAGCCTAGTCTCTCTTGCTGCTGGATAATCTCACCTGCCTGTTTTCAGGCCATTACAGCCTGAAATGTCAAAAACCTGATCTCTACAGACCGAAGTCAGAATTCTGTTGTGTTAAATAAATGCATAAAAAATAGATGGTTCTGAGTCTGATGATGTTTAGGTTTTTGGTCGTGTTTGGTGTTTTGGGGAATAAAAGCAGCTAGATTTTGCTAACACAGGAAATATTCTGAATGCATAAATGTGCTGAATTTCTCCACCATCTTCATTATTACTCGCTTATACTGACACAAGTCGGTGACTGGATGCAATCTGCTGGGTTCCTTATATAAGAAACTTTTACTGATTGGCTTAATGACCTGAACTGTATTGGAATGTTTACTTTGTGAAGTGCCTAATAAACTCGAATTGAAATGAATTGAACTGAACTGAATTGGACTGGATTTTTACAGGTGAAACTCAAAAAATCAGAATATGATATATTTCTACTTAGACTGAGATTCCATCGAAAGGCTCAGAAACCCTCAGCAGGTGTTTAGGACCCATTAGCTGATCAGAGTGTGACACTATGAGTCTAGAATATTGAACCTTTTCACAATAATCTAATTGTCTGAGATTTTGAATGTGGGGCATTCATCAGCTGTAAGTCATAATCATCACAGTTATAACAAATAAAAGCTGAAATATCTGGATTTGTATGGAATGAGTGTGTCTCATATTAGTTTCACCTTTTAAGTTGATTGACTGACATAAATGAACTTTTGCACCACAATTCTGTTTTTTTTTTAGTTTTGTAGTTCCATCTGTAAGTTTCAATGTTGAAAGAAAACGTACAAAACAGTTTTTTACATTTGCAAAAGGAAAAAAACTCACTGTGACATTTTTTTCTTCACACTCAATTCAGACACTTTTTTTTATGATGTGTGAACAGATATTTTTCATAGTTTAAACATGACTATAATGCTGAAGAAGTTACTGAACAGTGTGTGTGTGCGTGCGTGCGTGTGTGTGTGTGTACCTGTTGAAGCTCTTATACTGAGGCAGTTCTAGGTGGATTTGGATGGGTCCTGGCATCAGAGGCTTCATGGTGGCTGTCAGTTCCTCATTGTTGTGCATGGCCCGTTCCCATGGTGACACATAAGTACGTACATACTCCTTCCTCCTCTTTGTCTTTTCTGCCTCTTCATTCACTGACTCTTCCACATCTGAAACACAGACGACAATGCTTTTTAAAAAATGCTACCTGACAGTAAATGTCAAAAAGAGCAGAAAGAGTAAATGCTTGAGCTTACTTTCTTCTTTTGGCATTGTAGGCTTTGGTGGAACAGGGGGAGGGGACATCAGCAGGTTCTGGAGGTTCTGCTGGAAAGTGGAAACAGAATACAAACCTTCAACAGATCACCTGAGTGCACATATCACAAATCCTGTGGTGCATGTTTAGTCTACCCTCACCATGTTCTCATTGGTCACAATGAACTTCTCCACTCTCTGCTGCCTCATCCTGAACATCTTGGATCCTTTGTTCTTCAGCAGGGAGAGCTCCTCCAGCATTACATCTTTGGGCGTCTTTATCTTGGTGCCCAGGTCGAATTCAGCAGCATCAGGGTCCGATGCATCCTCTGGGTGGGAATAGGGAAAAACAACACATTCTCACTCCCAGCATGTCAAAACAAACGCTTGGTCAGCCACCCTCTGCGTCAGACCCCTGACGCCAAAAGTGCCCTTTTTCGTCACTTATGTGCGAAAAGGGTTTTTCTTTTTTCTGACTGCAGATCCTAATGCAGCGTGAAACTGATGCAATGGGATGTTCGCAGCCAGGGCACCACACAAGCTCATTGTACCTCACCCTAACCTTATCCTTTTGTTATTTAACCGTCCCCTCACCCCTATCCTAACCTTAAAGAGCAAGTCACCCCCAAATCAACAATTTTTTTCTGATAAACTATATAAATGCGTGTCTAATTGTGCTGCAGACACGTGTAGTCAATAGTTTTGCACTTTAGTGCATTTTAGTTCAAATTAAAATGATCTGCCTGAAACTGTCAGTGTTGTGCCGTTGTCGGGTAAAAACTCTTCACTACATTTGAATTTGAATCTGCCGTCGCTATTGGCTAAGAGGTATGCTATGATGTAAACTGGTACATTATGATGTCACAATGTCATGAGTGTGTGTATTTGTTAGTGGCTCCACCCTCTCGGTCTGCTAGGCAACAGCATTTGTTGCATTTTTCAAACATGAAGTGAGAGTGAAGTACGCTTCTTGTAAGGGGTGACTTGCTCTTTAACCATCTTGCCAGCTAACACGTTAGTGATGTGTCGGTCGCTCTGAAAGCCGGCTCTATGAAGTGAACGGTGGGAGCCGCCTCGTCATTGGTCGGGTTTGGACGGAGCCAATGCGAGGGGGAGGTTTCAACTACCAAGGTGGAGGTGAAAAGTAGAGGGTATTTGTAACCTCCCCCTCGCCAGATGGTATGTTCTTACATTCCCCTTGGGCGGCAAATATGAAAATTCACAGTCAGAATGTAGTGAGAGTGACGTTTTAGGTAGCAAGAGGGTTAAGGTTAGGATGAGGGAGAGGGGAAGGTTATAAATAGTGAAACGTTAAGGTTTAGGTGCGGTTAAATGAGCTGGTTCGGTGCCGCATCAGCAGACATCCCAGCGTGTCAGTTTTATGCTGCATTGGGATCTGCAGTTAGAAAAGGGAAAACCCCTTTTCGCACATGTAATGATTTGAAGTTGTATATTTATACACTGTAATTAGATAATTTAATGATCTGATTTTGTATATTTATACACTGTAATTAGATCTAAGTAATCAATCAGAAGTGGTTGTTTTTATCATCAGGGAGTTTACTTAAACACTCTGTATTGACTGAGAGACAAGAAAAGAGAGAGTTGGGATCGTTTAAGAATCTTTAATTTCTATAATTATAAATTCTTGCAATCTACCAGGACTATCTCAATGATGAATGCATATGGATTTAGATGTTTCGTGTTGGTGTGTGTGTGTGTGTTTTGTTCAGAATCTCTAGGCTGACATAGCGAATCTGGTTTGTTATGACTAGGCTACCACGAGGCTTCAGAAGCTGATGACATGAGCCGCCATATTGCCGTGACCACGTACCGTATGGAGTCTCCCGTGTAGATCAGGAATTGCCAGGTCCTAAGACCTCGGTTGTACTGGAGCTGGTGGAACAGCGGTCGCAGCACTACAAAGCCCGTCTGAGGATAACTCCGGTAGTAGTCGGCAGGCGTCAGCAAGTTCACTCTTATTTTGAAGGAACATCGTCTCGTTGGTACAAACGACGGAAATCTCCAGCTTGACAGTTCTCAGCTTAAAACAGGAAGTACAGCTGGCCATTCTGTACTCCTCTTTTGCGGTGATGGATTGAGAGCTGGTTGAAAACAATGTTGAGAGTATGATGTAACTCCTTTGGAGCTCGGATCGAACAGAGCTGATGTTAACGTGGAACTGAACTTAAAATGGCGTTGCCTTCTTTTATATCTCCCAGTTGTTTATAAATCTTAGTAAACCGGATTGGACTACTTTCATAAACAAACCAGATTCTGCCCTACCACAGACGAAAGTTCTGATTGGTTGAGAATAATGTGTCATGCGTTTCCATGGTAATGTATATCAGTCTGTCTGGTGCAGTCCTGTTTATTCATTAAACACATAACTCATGACATCTTTATTTTACAGATCATTCACCTGATTATTAATGATCAACATATGCTTTGATTAGCTTATCACAAATAAAGTACTTTGATTAATTAATGAAAAGCTTTCTTCTTCTCTTCTTCTGGAATGTAATCATACTGAACCAAGCGTCCGACCTTGGTGATGTTACTGTGTGAAGGGGCAGCTGTTAAGGGCAGACCATTATAAGCTTCATAACGCTACACACATAAGTTACGAAAAAGGTCACTTTTGGCGTCAGGGGTCTGACGCGGAGGGTGGCTGACCAAGCATTTGTTTTTGATGCGCTGGGAGTGAGAACGTGTTGGTCACACATCTCGACTAAATCCAGTGGGCAGCTCAGAACCGAGCTAGCTTTGTTAACTAGCTTGTCTCGGTCAGAGCTGCCTGCACCCCAACAGACCACAGCAGAGTGATAGAATGATTTTAGAAGATGGGAAAATAACTCTGAAAGGACCTGAGCCTCCTCAGGAGGTGGAGGCAGTTTTGGCCTTTATTACTCAGAGCATCTGTGTTGTTGGACCAGTTCAGTTTGCTGTTAAGATGAACACCCAGGTACTTAAAGGTATCCACCACCTCAGTGTCTGCTCCCTGGATGTTTACTGGTGAGTGAGGAGGAATGGCATGGATGAATGACTGTGTTGTAAAGCAACTTGGGGGGTTGTAGAACTCTAGGAGGCGCTATGTCAAATACAGGCCATTTACCACATGGAACAATTTTAGTGTGTGCTGAATGATATTACATCCAAATCCTAAAGACCCATTTTTTAAAGATTCTTTCTTTTTTTTAATTGTGAATAAAAACCCTGTTCTACTTTATTTTAAATATTTCTCCAGTGATCTGATTGTGATTTTCATTTAAATCTTAGTTTACAAAAGTAAACTAAACATTTCTGATTATTGAAAATCATTTATACAAGTAGCAAACTTGATTATTACAGTTAGCATCCATTTAAGAAGATTCATGAAGATATTCTGACAGTTACAATCAGCTAAATGAAGGATTTAAAGTGCTGCAGAGGAAATGCTATCTTCTGAAGTTTGGCTGTAAACAATCTGTCATGTGGTGTTAGTGGGTGTAGCTGGGGGAGTTGTGAGGTTCATTAGGCCAAGGTAATATAGAAGAAGAGAGCATCAGGGAATGTCTCTGCAGTTTATTTATTATATCTTATTTATGAAGGGAAACCCTCATCACACATGGCCTCTCCTCTCTGTTACTGATGGATTTTACTGCTCCACAGTGCTCCTTATAAAACGCTCTCCTCATCTAATGCATACACCCTGAAATCCCTCATAACACCTGGAGTTCAGCCACTAACCCACACACAGAGTCACAAACTCATCTGTAAAGCTGGAAGTTGGCATTGCAGCGCTGCAGAGAGCTGTTAGCAAAGCGCCATAAATCAGGCCGGTGTGTGTATGAGTGAGAGGGTCAGAGAGAAATATCGATGATGCTGAGCAGAGCAAAGTCTCCCGAGGGGATATTTATTAGTGTTGATTGAGAAGAATGAGAAACAAGTGTTGGCTGCTGATGGGGAGGAAACTGGACAAACTGACAGAGAAGAGAGGACAGATGGATGACTGATAAAAGTCAGAGTGACACAGTGGCAGGGATGATGGAGAGATGTGTTGGCATTAACTGGAGCAAAATAGGGGATAAGCTGGATTAGCTGAATGACTTACTGACTGAAAACAAACTGGAAACATACAGATGTGGCTGCAGAGGGGACAGCAGGAGGACTGGGTCAGAACAAACAAGCAAATAAAGAAAAAGATGGCAGTGGATTGTTTAACGACAGATTTGTGCACATGACCAAAGTGGTTTTAACTGCTGATTTTTCTTGATAATCTGTGCTATATTAACCCTTTGATGCATAATGGTCACTACAGTGGACAGGTACTCAAAATTGTTATTTATTTGTTTTTGCTATTAAGCACAGCTGTTGAAGACTTTATTGCATTTGAGCCCCTCAGTTTGGACTTCAGTAAGCCAAGCCAACATATTTCATGCTCAGAATGCACGCTGCCCACTGAAGTGGACATGTAATAAATTATTTGTAAATTATAAAATTTTACAAAAAATATTTGTTGAAATTTGTTTCATTCACACCTAAAGACGACCGAACAAAATTGTTAAAATAATCATGGTTGAAGATTTCATAATTCATGCATCAAAGGGTTAAAGGGGCCATATCATGGAAAATCCACTTTTTGGAGCATTTTACCATGCAATATTGATATTTCCTTGAGAAAAAAAATCCCATTTATGGCTGCATTAATGCATTTTCCTGTTTCAGCTGCAAATTTTGAGCTTTATTTTGAAAATCCTATAAAGCAGCAATTGAAAAATGTTGCATCACAAGGCCCTTCTCCTTTCCTGGAAGCTAGTCTCTGATCTGAAACTGGCCTTCACTGGTCAGCACAGGATTTGTGTGTTAGGCGAGTATTGTCATGTAACAAACATGTTAGTCGAGTGGTCAGAATGCCAAACTGGCACGAAGCTTTGTGCAGCTTTGCATCCTGGTTGGGGCAGTAACTTTTTTCTTCTTTTTTAACCACACTTGCCAGTATGATTTTTTTCAACCCTATGTAGCGTCCAGAAATGGTCAGTTTTTCACCTACAGTTTGACCTCTTCAGTATCCGGTCATATGGAGACATAAGTCTTAACTGGAGCCTTTAATCTGCAAGAAAGATACTGTTGCCGGACCAAGGTCCCTCTCAAGTTTCCTCTCATCTGTATCTGCTTTGCTTCACAGAACAAGAAGAATGAACTTTTATAAAAATGAACTGTAACAATAACGAATACTGAATGATGCAATGGAATACGTAAATAATCATATAGTTGAATGAATAATAATGGCTGAAGAATAATAACAATGTTTGATTAATCTGTGCTTAAATCACTGCAGTCGAAATGAATATTATTATGTTGTGATCAGTAGGCATGTTGTGTGGGCAGCAGTAGCTCAGGTGGTAGAGCGGGTTGTCTCATGATCGGAGGGTCATGGGTTAGATTCCAGCTCCCGCCAGGGGTATCCTGCTGTTGTGTCCTTGGGCAAGACACTTCACCCAACTTGCCTGTGTTAGTGGTGGTCAGAGGGGCCGACGGCGCCAAATGGCAGCCTCGCCTCTGTCAGACCTCCCCAGGGCGGCTGTGGCTACAAGTAGCTTACCATCACTAGCAGTGTGTGAATGTGAGAGTGTGTGAAAGCATCATTGGGTGTCTAGAAAAGCGCTATATAAGTTCAATGCATTATTATTAAAGTTTGATTTAACAAGTGAATCATTATCTACTGACAGCTCACATACTCAGACACATGACGATGACAAGGTTAAACTAATCTCATGACACATTGCTTTCTGTTCCACAAATCAGAGCTCCTGTATCTATGAGGTGTAGTTTCTGAGGTTTGTTGGCAAAAACCTCTTTACATGTAAGATTCTGATTTGTCAGTAAATCAAAATTTGGCGATTATCAAAACAGAACTCAGTTGTAGTGAGTCAGTTGAGCCTAACTCTGACTGGCCATTGGAGGAAAACTCTTCTCCCATCGCATCTTTTGACAAGCTGTCAAAACCTGTTGCATGCTACAGCTGACCGCAAACGGTTCCTTCAGAATAAAGCTGTTTGTGTGTTATGTTTGGGGTTTTGTGTGTGCAGTTTTGAAAGGAACGTACAGTTTTGAAAAACGTGTTTTAGCAATCGAAAAAAACTGTAATTTGATGGGAATTATTATTATTTCTTCTGTAGTGTGAGGGTTGTTTTGGGCCTGTTAAGGAACTAACATCACAGGGTCCCCCACCTGGGGGACCCTAGGCTGTTCACTAGCTTACAAACTTTGACTTACGTTGTCCCTGCTGCTGTTCACTTATGTAAACAAGTTGACAACTTTGCCAGAATTCACTCTCTGTATTTATAACACTATGTGATAAGCAGTGTTTCACTTTACACAGGAGCTGATAAATAAATAAAACTATCAAAAGTTTGGATCCCTAACAGCTTTTGTCACCACTGGGTTAAGCTGCTACTCTCACATAGGGCAACACAACATATCTCATAACAACAACCCTAACCCTCACCATGCTGAATAAATTACATAATTTTCACACACGTAATCCTATTAGACCAATAATAATATAATAAATCATTTTCTCACAATTCATTATAGTGGACGTTAACACGTGGCATGGTGCAATATAGAATTATCAATACTTACAGTTTTTCTCCATTGCTTAAACACATTTCTTGAAACTATGCTTCACATTTTCCTAACAGTAAACACAAATCTATAACCCAATTTTCCAAACATCATATTTTCTGGTCAAAATGAAGCTCTACACTCTAAACCATTCACTCTTGCTGAAAAACCAGACTTTGCCCACAGACATCACACACAGGCCTCAAAAACACACACACTACAACACAGTCTTACACATTGGTGCAATAAATTCCAAACAACATTTTGAAAACTGGCAAGTTATGTTGCTTGTGGTTCTTCCCCACAAAAACCTTTTTACATTAATACAAAAGATGCAACCAATGTATATACAGTGGCACATTTTTATTCACGTACCATACAGTACAACAC